CGTGACCCCCATCCCCACCCCCTGCACCCGGCTTTGTTCCCACGGGGCAGCTGCAGTTATCAACAGATGTTTCCGCAATCAATAACTGGTACCCTCTCGGCAGAGCCGCGTCTACCTGCGGAGCGGGCATAATGCCCCCAGCAGCGGCGGTCACATTAATCTCCCATCTCCCGGCTGGCTCTCTCGGCTGGGCTGCAGGTGTTGAGGTGGGGGATGCAGGGACACACTCTCGAGGCGCCCAGCTTTGTGCGGCGGGTAAAGGAGGTCGGATCAGGCCATAAATTTCTGTCTATGGCCACACACCCGAAGGAGAAAAGATGGTGGGAGGGATGGTGGGGGTGGGGGTGGAGGAGGGAGCAGAGCAGGGGTGGGGCGAGGGGAGAGGTGGGGAAGAAGAGAAAGCCAGGCAGAAAGCACGTGGGGTTGTGGCAGGTGCTAGGGAGCACAGCTCTGAAGGATTTGCCTTTCTTTTTCCCTTCCCATGCAGTGTTCTGTGCTTACCCGACTCTGGGACTCGTGGGCTGAAAGCCCCGTGTCTATACTCTGGAGAATGCTCAAAGGGGAAATTGCACCTGGGTAGAATTTTAAGGGTCAAAAAAGAAAATCCATGTAGTTTAGATTTATGAAAAGAAAAACAACTAGCAGATGACATCAGACAAAGATGCAGAGGCCTTTCACTGCTTTTAAGATGGAAGGGCAGGGGCTGGAGGGCATCTGCCTGGCTGCAGTTCACCTGAGGTCCATCTTCATCACCCAACAGAGGCCTTTGAGCCTGCCAGGGGTGATCCCAGAGGGCAGGGCCAGGAGCAAGTCCTGAGCATCGCTGGGTGACATGCCCCGCCCCGCCCCAAAAGAAAAAAAGATGGGAGAAAGGGTTCTCACCATCTAAACAAGAAACACAGCCTGCACAGCTGGCTCTGGTCTGGCCTCAGAGCCTGGAGCGGACGGGAAAGAGACACTTTTATTTCATCTTTGGTTTTATTTGGGGGTTCACACTTGGTGGTGCTCGGGGGGACCAGGTGGTGCTGTGGACCCCCAGGCCGGCTCCACGCAAAGCGTGTGTATGCCTCTTGGAGCCGACACTGCGGCCCTTCTGCCAACTTTCAATATGATTTTCTTCTCCGGTGTGGGGAGAGGGGGGTTGGGGGCCACATCAGGCAGTGCTCAGGGGCGATTGCTGGCTCTGTGTTCCAGGGGGTGAAGTTCAGGCCTCCAGCGTGCAGAGCCTGTACCCCTACCTCAGTTGGTGACTTGGAGAACCGAGTGTGAGAGTGTCAGCTCCCCATGAGCCAGGGAGGCTTGGGCACTCGGGTGCATTCTTCTCTCCCCAGCGTGCGGTCACTCCGCTCCAGCCTCCACGGTGCCCAGCAAAAGCCACTGTCACATCTTCCCCCTCACCCTACTCCACTCAGTCTGTTGGTATGGGAAGAGAGAGAGAGAGAGAGAGAGAGAGAGAGAGAGAGAGAGAGAGAGAGAGAGACTGTGTGTATGTGTGTGTATATGTGTGTGTGTATGTGTGTGTGTGTGTGTGTATGTGTGTGTGTGTGTGTGGTGGGGCGGGGGTAGGTGGGTGGAAGGATGGGTTACTGCTTCTGTTCAGTCTCCAAAGATGCTGTTCTGTGTGTGAGGAGCAGGCGGTGTTCCTTGAAGTTTTGTTTAATTGGCAAAGGTCATGTCTATACTCACACTGCTCCTCCCAGATGGGAATATAAAAGGAGGTCCCCATAACCATGTCGCTGGACTCCGCGCCAGGCTGTTTTTACTTGGGGCGCCCCAGAGGGGGATGGGTGAGAGCCCTCCCTACCCCAAGGGACCCAGCCAACCTCCACTACCCAACTGCCGCCATGCTCCAGGCCGCTTTCTGGACCACACGGCTGACACTTCCTACCCATTTTCCATAATTACCATACCATGTTTGATGGAGTTCAGACAGTAGGCAACAAATCATAGAGAGAAATTTGTGTGTGTGTGTGTGTGTGTGTATATATATATGCTACCGAGAGTATCCTGCCTGCATGGACAGAGACTGGCAAGGTCCCCGTGGCATATTTGATATGCCAAAACCAGTAACTATAACAGGTCTCATTCCCCTGACCCTAAAAGGGCCTCCAATCGTTGGGAAAAATGAGTAAGGAGAGGCTACTAAAATCTCAAGGTTGGGATGAATCGAAAAGTTACTGGCGCCTGCTCAAGTAAATCTACGAACAATGGGATGACAGTGATACAGTGATACGTGTCTATACATTGACTACTTAAAAAAATGGATACTTTTACAGTGTTAGGATTGTACCCAGGTCTCATGCATGCAAGGCACCGGCTTTATCACTGAACCATATCTCCAGCTCCTACATTCATTTGGCGGACTTTATCTTTTACTCTTGGGGGACTCAAAACACATTCCCATGTAACACAGGAAGACGCAAACATGAGGGCATTTGCTGTCACTTCTCAGGCCTGGTCTCCAAACTATAGAGGGTCTGTTTTCTTTAGTGCTGGGAATCGAACCCAGGACCTCATTTGTGCATGGCGTGTTCTCTGCCTCTGAGCCACATCCCAACCTGACAAATCTGTATTGTCTTTTTTTTTTCAGATGGGGGGGTCACACCCTGTGGTTCTCAGGGATCATTCCTGGTGAGCTCAGGGACCATATAGGGTGCCAGGGATTGAACGTGGGATGGCCACACCCTTCCCGCTATACTACCACTCTGGCCCCACAAATACATACATACTCTTGTGAGGGAAAAAGCACAAGCTCATATACTTCCTTGATTGTCATTTGAGTTAATGAAGGTAAGAAACAATTTTCTTAGGCTGGAGCACTAGCTCGACGGACTGAGCTTTGCTAGCGGGACGGGAGGCTGGGGTCCAATCCCCAACACCACATGTCCCCCCCTCAACTGACCCCCATTCAGTAGCTCTGAATATCCCCGAGCACTGAGCCAGGAGCAGCATCTAAACTCTGCGTGTGCCATAGCACAAAAACAAACAAAAGCAAAAAATACCCCAAATCAATAAAACAAACCAAACTACCAAAAAAGGCCAGTGACCCTGCTTACAGCACCCTCAGAAGCTAGGCCTACAAATGGGGTGAAGATGGGAATTGAGGTGCTTTTCTCTTCCTTCCTTCCTTCCTTCCTTCCTTCCTTCCTTCCTTCCTTCCCTCCTTCCTTCTTTCTTTCCTTTTCTTTTCCCTTTTTTTTTTGAGGTGCTTTTCTTAAAACGCTGTCCTCTCCAATTTCCAGCAAGTGAGTTGAAGGATGGAGCAAGGAGGCTGTCACGATGCTTCCGGAGCATCCCGAGCCAGGAGAGAAGCAAGCCAGCAGGATTCTGGGTGGGGGTGCATGCCAGGACGTGCCATGACCGGTGCCCACAGCTTAGATACCAAGTCCCAGTGACAGTGTCACACTGAACTAAGCTTTTAAAAAGCTACCCAAGGGGCTGAGTGATAGTACAATGGGGAGGGCATTTGCCTTGCATGTGGCCAACCCAGGTTTGATCCCTGGAATCCCATATGGCCCCCTGAGTACCACCAAGAGTAATTCCTGAGTACAGATCCACCCCTGAGCATCGCTGGGTGTGACTCAAAAAGCCCTCTTTCCCCCCTCCCCCCAAAGTCACAAAAGTAGACAAAAATAACAAAACAAAATAATAAAGTGTAGAAGTGGTAAACCCACAAAATATTTAAAAAAAGCCACCTAGCTGTTATTTGTTAGTTTTAGTTTCCAGCCACACCATGCAATGCTCAGGGAACTCTGCATGTGCGGGATAGAAGCCGGCTCCTACATGGAGGGCATGAGTGCCAGCCCTGGGTTCAGCTCTCAGCCCTGCTAAGGTTTTCCAAAGTTCAACACGGTCCAACCAGTCACAGCCCACCAGCAGGGAAGGGGCTCCTTGCCCACATTCACGCCCACGCTGGTTGTTCTTGGTTTTTTTCCTCTCTTTTTGGGTCACACCGGTGATATACAGGGGTTACTTCTAACTCATGCACTCAGGAATTACTCCTGGCAGTGCTCAGGGGACCATATGGGATGCTGGGAATCAAATCCTGGTCAGCTGCATGCAAGGCAAACACCCAACCCTCTGTGCTATCGCTCCAGCCCCATGCTGGTTGTTCTTGTCTTTTGTGATGTGTGCCTGTCTCACCACGGAGAGGGAAGAGCTAAGTTATTTTTGATTTACATTCCCTATCCCCAGGGCCCCCAAACATTATTTTGAAAAGACATTTGCACTTTTATGCTCACCGCAGCCCTTTCCACAAGAGTCCCAAATCTGGAAATAACTCGAGTGTCCAAGAACAGATGACGGGATAAAGAAACTCTGGACCTCAACAATATTATTCAGCCATGAGGAAAAAGCAGTGCAATCTGCTGCGACATGATCGGAACAGAAGTCCTGCTGAGTGAAGTTCGCCAGAAGGAAAGACGGACAGAGAATAATCTCTTCCATATGTGGGCCACAGAAAGACACAGGGAAGGAGGAACAAACACCCCAAAGCACAGAACCTGAGAGCAGGTCTAGAGAACTGAGCGTACGGGTGGGGGTGCCATGAGGGTGCTGGGAACTGGGACAGGAGGAGGCAGTGTTGGCGGTGCTGGGAACTTTAGTGGTGGCCGAGGTGTCATACAGTGGGAATGCTGTACCCAGGCGAGCCTACAGGGGACAGTATTGGGCATCTCAGTGCCTCAAATTCGATTCAATTCAATTCAATTCAATTCAATGCAAAAGTAGCCATGCCAACTGGGGTCAGCCCAGGACTTTGGGCCACCAGGTCACAGTCCAATTCTATAGGTACCATCTCTGCCAGAGCCACCTGCTGCCCTGCTCACTTTATCTTGGTCGACCCTTCCAACAGACGCTTTCCTGAGCCCATCTTCCGCCCATTACTCAATGTGGCAGGTCGGGGCTCTGTCTTGTGCTCCAGAGAAATTCAATCCTTCAGGCCACTGAGGGGCCAGAAGTGTGGGCCGGGGAGGGAGGGGGTGGGTGGGGGTCACTCCTACCAGTAAGTGCGGCAGGCCGACCCTGACCACGTCCTGCAGGTTGGTTTTGTCCTCTGGGTCCACGGCCTGCTTGTACTGACACTTCTCAGGCACGAAGGGCCACCGCATCTCCTTGGCCTCCTGAACCAGGCTCTGTAATTCGCCGGGGAGCAAAGCTGCAGAGGTCAGAGATCAGAGGTCAGAGGTGAGGTGCTACTCTCCAAGCAAAAGCTGCTGGGCCCTGGTGCTGTGATGGAGCACCACGGACCCCTCAACCCCAGACCTGGCGGACCCCCCACCCCAACCCCGGCTGGTCAAAGGCTCCGAGAATAATAGCGAGAAGCTATTCTGTGTCGTCTGGGGTGGCCCCGCTCAGCTCTGCCCTGCAGGGACTCTGGGGCAGTCAGGCATTCAGAGAGGGTGTCAGCAGGAAGGCCAGCACTTTAGTGACCAGCTCTGCGTGAAGAAGCAGAGAAAGGCAGGCAGGAAGGAAATATTATTTTCCCTGTAAGACGAGAACAGGCCTGAGGTGGAGTGGCAGGTGGGGCCCATGGCAGCTTTGGCCTGTGGAGCCCCTCTGGACCTCCACAGCTCAGCTCCCACTCACACTCTTCTGACACGCAGCTGTGGACAGTGAACCCCAAGAACCCCAGGGGAAGCCATGAGGGGTCAGTGGGCTGGGCCTGCCTGGGGTCGGGCTTCGCCTCGCGTGAGCAGAGGGAGATTTGACGTCAGGTTGGACCGTTGTTTCCCCATCATGGGGCCTCATGGGACGCCTTTCCTTATAGTCTGGTTTGTTCTATCTGGCAACCAGAGCCAAAAGTTTTGTGGCAATTATTTTGTGTGTGTGTGTGTGTGTGGCCGGAAGGGGGGGGGAGAGAACCCCTGGGGGCTTCCCTGCTGCGAGGTCCCAGCAGAGCTGGTGGGGTGCACCCAGAGAAGCTGCACGTGGGGGGACCATGAGGTCAGTCTAAGAGAATGAATGAAGCGAGGCGAGCAATGCCCAAGAGGCAAGACCGCTAGCCCTGGCCCATCTCTTTGGCCCTGGCCACCGTGGCTGATATTTGCTGTCGGTGCTGCCCAGGGTCAGCTGAGCGTGAAAGGGGGTGCTGGTGGGAACCCACCTTTCCAACACCTGCCACAGGCTTGGAAGCGCATGCGTGTGAGCCCCAAGTTCTGAATGAGGGGCCTTCACTGCCCAGGGGCCAAGGCGTTTGACTGACATGTCTCAGGCTCTCACAGTCTGTGCTCCCTGGGGAGGGACCTTGGGAGAGGCGACTGGAAGCGACAGGAGGAGGCAGTGTTGGCAGTGCTGGGAACTTTAGTGGTGGCCGAGGTGCAGTGACTGTAACACTGTTGAGACCCCACGTTACCTACGTGACAATAATGCATATTTTTTAAAGTGTTGACACAAAATTTGAATTTTGCTCTTGGATCTCTGTGCTGATGCAGGCCACAGTTTTTGTTTCTGTTTTTGATTTTGCTTTTTGGGTGACACCCAAAAAGTGCTCAGGGGTTCCTCCTGGCTCTGAACTCAGGAATTACTCCTGGCGGTGCTCAGGGGACCATATGGGATGCCGGGGATCGAACCCAGGTCGGTGGTGTGCAAGACAAACGCCATACCCGCTGTACTATCACTCCGGCCCACAGGCCACCATTATTCACAGAAACCCATGATTGAAAGCCAGAAGCCAGTTTAGACTCTTGAAGTAATGGGGAAGGTCGCTTTTTTTCTGCCAGGGACACCTGGATGTGCCCAGGATTCGCAGGCTGGACATCATAGTATTAAATGATACAGTGTCTGTCTCGATGTCTTCGTGTGCCAGGGACCACCGATTCCATGGAGTTCACATCACCTGGGGGTTGAGCATTCCCTATCCCTCAACAAACTGGTTATCAAACTCTGTGGGTGAGAAAACTCATTTCCTGCGTCCAGATCTCGTCACCTCCACTCTTCTATTCCCAGAGACCCTGTTCCCACGCTCCCCTCCAATCACTGCCAGTACACTGCCAGGGCACTGCCAGGGCACTGCCAGGCCCTGGGGGGGTGTGGCTGCTTGTTAGGGCAGGTGAGTTGGGCTACGCTCAGAGGTGCTCGGGGCCTACTCCCTGCTCTGCTGTACTCGGGGATCCCCCCCGGCGTGGCTTAATGGGCCGTATGTGGTGCGGGGCATTGATCTGGGGTTGTCTACGACAAGCACGGTGAGCGCCCCGTGCTAGGCTAGCTTCTGGCCAAGGGTGAAGGTTCCAGAAGGAAGAGCGAATAGCTAGAACTATAGGCCCATGTCCTGAGAAGGGACATGCAGAGAAGGGACACATGTGGAGAAACCGGAGGGAAATGTGCTCTGACACGCACGTCCCCAAGTGGCTCTGCAGGTCAGCAGGTGTGGCCACACATGACCAAATGGGCAAAAAGTCCAATTCCAGCCAGACCAGGAAGCCAAAGGCCTGAGTCTGGCCGCAGAGTCACAGCAATAATCAAACACAAGGAACTTGGGACACAGCGAAGGGACACGTTTAGGAGGACTGTCCGAGTTTCTGGAAACTGATGAGGCACAAAAGCCTCACTGGGGAAAGGAAAGAAGGGGGCAAAAAAAAAAAAGTAGGTGCCACCATTGAAAATTTGCTTCCATTTTTTTTTTAATAATTGAAATATACGTGCACCAGCCTGAATGGACCCTTTGTTCGGCCTGAACTAAACTGTTGCTTATAGTCTCATGTCTGCTGAAGCCTAAAATGAGAACTGACAGCAATTCTCTGCAACAAAAGTGGGCTTCCTCCCCTGCCCGTCCGCCCATAGCCCGTGTCCCATTCATGTCCCAGAAACCCACGCATCTGCATCTCGAGGTGGTCATCTGCCAGGAGAAGAAAAATAGAGCCCAGAGAAGAACGAGCCTCAGGGGAGGGGGCGGGGCATGAATGCGCTGAGCCCCCTCCTTTCCCCAGTACAGGTGTCAGGCCTCACCTTGCCACCCCTGTTGTTTGCTCTGGTCCTCCTGTGACACGTCCCGGGTCTCCAGCCAGAGCTGGTCCAACCCTTGCACGCATTCTTCTAGTTGTGCAGCAACGGCCTTTGGATTCTGCATGGCGCTTCCTCTCCTAGACCTTTGATGCTCTTCCTCTCCTGGACCTTCGACTAGAGTCCCCTGCGATCAATTACCTGGGAGCATGGGAGCAGACATTGATGCTTCCATCAAAGCGCCCCTCTCAAGCCGCTGGCGGAGGTAACTGGGGAACAAAGGCAGGAAGGGTGATTAACTCGAGGATCATCAATTAACCACAAGACTCAAGCAGGGAGGGATAATAGGGCAGCCACGGGCGATGGGCGATCCCGGCTGCCCTAGGACTTGATTGGGGGGAAGTGTGGAGTAACCGCAGGGCCTGGTGAGGAGTTTTCTAGGCCCCACGGAGCAGCTGAGAGCCCACACGGCTGTCTGCAGTGAAGGGACCGGGCCTGAACGTGGCCCGTGATTTATGTCTTCGCCGGACACTTCCAATTGGTGCCCCAGGACCCCAGGGGAGGCACTGGGCCCCGGCAGCACCACACCTAGGCAGCTTCTCCTCATCTTCCCCTCATTTCCCCCATGTGGAATTCTTCATGGTCCTTAGCACCATATATATCATTTGGACCCAGAACAGCGTTGGCAGATGCCAATTTTTTTTTCTTTTTGGGTCATACCCGGCGATGCTCAGGGGTTATTCCTGGCTCTGCACTCAGGAATCACTCTTGGCAGTGCTCGGGGGATCACATGGGTTGCCGGGAATTGAAACCGAGTTGGCCACTTGTAAGGCAAACGCCTTTCCACTGTACTACTACTCCAGCCCCAGATGCCAAAGTTTAAAGCTCTTCCTGGCCAGGCACATTGCCGAGAGAAATGACAACCCATTTTCCTGATCCATCACGTGAGGGAACTAGCGTATGAATGGAGGGGTGGATCCATACTGGCATTTCCCCACATCACACACTGATTTATGTGGGTTTATTATGTGGATATGCGTCTATCAGATCAATAGTGACAAGTAGATATCAAGATGTTCTGTTTTGGGATCAGCGTGAGAGTACAGTGGGTAGGGGGCTTGCCTTGCACGGAACCAACTTGGGTTCGATCCCTGGCATCCCATATGACCCCTGAGCCCGCCAGAAACCCACCGCTGAGCACAGGGCCAGGAGAAAGGCCAGGGCATCACTGGGTGTGGTTCCTTCCCTCCCCGCGACCCACACAAAGGTTCTGTTTTTTCCCTCCCTTGGCCTTCTGTGTATTAAAGCATGTGAGCAAGACAAAGGAAATATATTTTATTTACAACAAAAAAAGAAACTCGAGTTTGAGGGAACTTCTATCTGCTTTAGACATTTGCAGGGTAGGTAGAACTCTATCACCAATAAAAAAGACATGAGAAAAGGGAGCTGGTAAAAACACATACAGAGGGACTAAAATATGTCTCCAGCTGACTCACCCCAATGAAGTCATTGCTGAAAATATGAGAACAGGGGACCTCTGTGCTGGGGTTGGGGAGAAAATGACCTCTCTAAGTTCCTACCTCAAGAAGTTAGTTTTGAATAGCAAGAAAACATTTTCTATCGTACCCACCATTTTACTTGTCTATACTAACAGAAAATTAAAGGATGAACAAACAATGTGATTTAAATATGCAATTTTCATTTTATTTATTTTTATTTTTTGTAGTTTTCATTGGGCTGGAGCGATAGCACAGCGGTAGGGTGTTTGCCTTACAAGCGGCCAACATGGCTGACCCGAGTTCGATTCCTCCGCCCTTCTCCGAGAGCCCGGCAAGCTACCGAGAGTATCTCGCCCGCACGGCAGAACCTGGCAAGCTACCCATGACGTATTCAATATGCCAAACACAGTAACAACAAGTCTCATGATGGTGACGTTACTGGGCCTGCTTGAGCAAATCAATGAACAACGGGAGAACTGTGCTTGTTGCTTGTAGTTTTCATTTAACCTGAATGCTATGCTTTGAGTTTCAACACACACACACACACACACACACACACACACACACACACTCACACACACCCACACCCTATACCTGCCGAAGTCAAGTTTTACAGTGCTACAGCTTTGTTTTGCTTAAAAGTATGTGAAAAAAATCATGTATCTGTTGATGAAGAACACAAGTATGGCTCTTGAATCACAAATTTTTGTGAGGTGGGAGGACGTCTATCCAAGTGAGACCAAGAGCTAGTGTAGGCCTAGCTTTAATCAGTTTTCCATTTAAGATGCTTCAGGAAGTATTCCTGCATAGCTCAGATGTTGGGATGAAACATAAAGGTTGGTAACCTTTCCAACGTAATTTAAGAGCTCAAGTCCTGGTCAGTCAGTTTCTTGCAGTACAAATTGGGCATGAGTTGAACACTCTATGAACAGTACCAGGAGTCAGGTCACAGAGTCAGTCAATGAGCAAGAGGGGTGAGAGCATCAGCAGTTCATTCCCAACATGCCCCAAGGGAGAGAGATAGGCCAGGACACCAGGCCACTGCCAAGACTGACAAATGCAGTTGGGAGTTGTGAAGATCAAGTAGAAGTTTTGCTCGGAATGAGCTGTGGGTGAGCAGGACTGTTGCTTCTCTCAAATCCTAAATTAAAGCAAGAATAGGGCTCTCTTGGCTCGGATCCTTTCCCAGGACTTCTAGTAGGAAGGGGAATGAAAGGGAGTGTGAAGAACACACACACAGAGGAAGAAAACTGTTCTGTAATAAAACGTTTTGAAGTTGTCCTTGCTTTAATTTCTTTTTGCGCTCTTTGGGTCACACCTGGCGATGCACAGGGGTTACTCCTGGCTCATGCGCTCAGGAATTACTCCTGGCGGTACTGAGGGGACCATATGGGATGCTGGGAATCGAACCTGGGTCAGCCACGTGCAAGGCAAACACCCTGCCAGCTGTATTATCACTCCAGCCCCTGCTTTTAATTTTAAATTAAAAAAAATAATCATTCTGTTTCGAAGGCCAGAGAGATAATACTGCACTTGGGTGCTTGCTTTGCAATCAACCTGGGTTTGATCCCTGACATCCCAGATGGTTCTTGAGCCCAGCCAGGAGTGATCCTTGTGTGAAGAGCCAGGAATAAGCCCTGAGCACTTTAGAGTTTGGTCCCCAAATGAAAAATAAAACACATTATTGTAATTCAAAGGGTCACACTTGGTAGTGCTCGAGAGGCAGGTGGTACTGAGACCCAAACTCAGAGGGATGGGATGTACTGAGCACATGTCCAGCCCACCTCAGATACTTTTAGTAGCAGCCATATCTTTGCCTAAAGTCTTAGATGGGGCCGGAACGATAGTATAGTGGGTAGGGCATTTGCCTTGCACATGGCCAACCCAGGTTTGATCTCTGTTATCCCATATGGTCCCCCAAGCACCATCAGGCGTAATTCTAGAGTGCAGAGCTAGGAGTAACCCTGAGCATTGCCAAGTGTGACCCAAAAAATCAAAAGAAAAAAAAGAAAAAAAGTCTTAGAGTAAGGTTTATTAGTGCTGTATCATCATCTTAAGGTAGAAAATAGCCTCCCTCTATCCTAAATAAAAGAAAAATAACTTGCTCTGATTCTAGAAATGTTTTTATTTATTTATTTATTTTTTGGTGTGTGTGTTGGGGGGGTCACACCCGGAGATGCACAGGCGTTATTCCTGGCTCTGCCCTCAGGAATTACTCCTAGCGGTGCTCAGGGGACCATATGGGATGCTGGAAATTGAAGCTGGGTCGGCCATGTGCAAGGCAAACACCCTACCCACTGTACTATAGCTCCATTCCCTAGAAATGCTTTTAAAAAGAGCACTGTAGTAATAATAAATTAAAAAAGGCCTAAGACTAGGAAAATTAGTTCCCTAATAGCTGACTTATTCTCCATCACTATTAGTGAGCCCTCCGAGGATCCCTTTCTCAGGTTGAGGGGCAGGTGAACACACCTGCGAGGTGCCTCCCAGGCTTGAGGACCTCCCTGAATGGCCCTCTCCCGTCACCTGGTTGTCTAGCAGCGAAGACTCGCTGGTGTTTGCTACTGAGCAATTCCCGGCTCTCTGGATTCCCCAGTCTCATGCTTCATGCACACGTATCATCGTGGTTTAGAAATGTCGGCTTTCATCTTGGACGTGGACGACTAAATAAACATACCTCTTTGCTTTTGTTTCCTCACTCAAAACTCTGATTATGGATGCCCAAGATGATAAATCTTTCTGCTTTTTGTCTACGCGTTGTGAAAGAGAGATGGCGATGTAGGTTCTGGGAGGGCGTACAAGAGGCCTTGATCTAATCTCTGGGTGAAGCTTGAGTAGGTCAAAGGGGGTGGGGTGGCAGTGGGGGTCTACCCTCAGTCTGTGCAGCTTGGACTGAGGTTAGAGAGAGGACTTGGGCTTCATGAAGTTAGCACGGTGGAGATAACCTCACTGAAAAATGTCGAGGGCATGAAGGAAGGCCAGGTTCCCTGAGCCAGAGATGACAAGGTGAGGAGGGGCTTGAGTCTGAAGCTGCGCTCTGGCCCCCTTGCTAGGATGCGAATGTGTCTTTGCTTTAAGCATGCTAGGAGAGGGTTGCAAGCAGCAGAAGACCAGCGTTGCATTTGCAAATGTTCCATCTGTTTTGACCCTCTGTGTACTGTGTGTAGAGGGAGGAAGGGGGTATTGAGGTTCTCCACTGAGGGTGCAGTGATACAGGAGGTGGGCCTCAGAGCTTCAGAGTGTAAGTGTGGGAACAACAAGCACTTGGAAAAGACCCAGATTCATCTTCTGCTTGCGTCTTTCTAGCAATAAGGACAGCGAGGAGCTACATCCCCCCCTCCAAAATCATCAATGAGATTTTCATCAAGGAAACATTTCTTAAAGACAAAATTAGAAATTTTCAGAATAATTAGTGTTTGGATCTTGTGATGCCCTCAAAATGGGCTGAAGATATTTTTTTCTATGTATTTTTTCCATGGGGGCGGGGCAGTAAAAGTATTTGTTTTCCCCCTGTAGACTTCAGGAGAGACAATACAATAAGGGGGAAAAAAATACTGTAACATGAGAAGCACTTTGGAATCCAACCATCTGTCCAGACTTGTACGGTTCATTGTTAGACATAACAGAG